TTAAGAAGTAACTTGTAAAAGATGCAGCAATAGGGATTTTAAAGCAGAAAATAATCAGTGGATGTAAAAAGAGAAAAAAATTCATATACCTGTACTCTAGTCTTTAGAACCTTGTAAAATGTACTTTTTTAAAACCTTGTGAAAGTATTCTCATATGAATCACTCAAAAGATGACGACCTTTTTCTACTCAATCTACTCAATTTAAGAGGATAATTTTTCTCTTTGCACTATATTTCAATTAAATTATGGATATTTTTTTTCTGTTTCCTCTAAATTCCAAACTTACATGTGACTTATTTGTCTGACTGGTGAACCTAAAAATAATCTAGAATATCCCGCAGGATTTCGCACTCTGTTTTAAAAAGAAAGCGTTATATTTTTTTTAGTTCAGTGAAATTGTCATAAACCTTAAACAAATTGAAACAATTTTTTCCTTTATACATTATTAGTAAATTGTGTATTAATCAACATATAAAAACTACAAAATGTATAAAGGCAAAAGAGTTTTTTTGGGGGGTAGAAATAAATGTTTCCCAGTCTAATAAAATATGTATAACAGAAATTTCAGTTGCAGTTTGTTTAGTGTTTTGGGGATAGATTGCCTGGACTATAACTGACATATAAAGAGGTATTTTCCCACTTTCTGACTAACCGTGGGTAAGTGGGAATTCCCCGTGTAGACCAGATAACATTCCTGGCAACGAATACAGTGTATCAGCAAGTGGACACAATAGTGCATTGGCCAGGTCTTGAACTTGTTGACTAAACTTTAAGTACGCATAGTATTTACCAGAAACATATACATGTAGATACTGATGTTACCAATCTAGCCTACCTTCCATAATGGGGAAAAATGACTGGTTTTGTTTTTCTGTCACTAGTACTTCGTTAGTAAAATTCCGCCGAAACATGGCTGAAATATTGCCGACTCGGCGTTAAACCATAAACAATCAATCAATCGTTAGTAAAATCGCGACAAATTTGTGCGAGTTCCTACCAAAAATCGTGCTTGTCTCAAGCGTTTTCGTTGCATCTTTAAGTAATATTTGCCTCTAGCCAATAGAGACACTTTCAGAATAGAAACTTTATTATTCTAAAAACCCTTTACATGAACAGCCCATGCCTAACAATCTTTACTACTATTACACACCGTTGCTATTTGTAATCTGACTTTTACCTTTGACATTCCTCTGTTTGATACAAGTCGTTCTTTCTCTGTCTTCTGGTCTTTTCTCCAGAACACCATTTTTGATTTTCATTTGTAGAAATATCTTTCCTGTACATAATGGTCAAAATTTACAATAGTTCACAAAACCTTGAATATGTTTTAGAGGTGTCCTATAATAACTTATGGTCGACATTGTGACATATATAAATATAAAGTACATGTATCACGAGCAGGTGTATATACTTGGATAGGCCAAAGGTACATGTACAGATAGATTACTTTAAAAAGAGTAAGTTTGCATCTCTCTCTCTCTCTCTCACAATGACTAACCTAAGAATCTAACAATTTCCCCGCCCTTCTCATATTTTTTCTCAATAGACGATGCAGGGTTACCAAATGTATTTCTATCATTGGTTGTTGTGACACTGTGATTCACGTGTAAATGTCCTCATTTACCTTTGATAAACCATTCTATTTCTGGCTCTCGGTTACCTGCAGCATTAAAATGTAAGAAGATCATGAAAATTGATCAATCTGATTAAACCAGAGAAGAATACTAATCGTGAATAGACCAAAAAGACCAGGGAGGGGATCAGGTGCCTAGGAGGAGTAAGTATACCCTGTCAACCAGTCACATCCACCATAAACCTTCTGTATAAATGAGGTCAATAGCGTAATATGGTATAAAAATGGTATAATGGTATTAAAACAATGGCCTAATAATTGGTGGGGAACATGTCAGTCAAATTACTCAACGATATCATGTATTTGCAAACAAGGTCAACTACAACCACAGAATTTGAATGCTAACAGTAAACAAGATAATTCAAAACCCTGTAAGATCAACTTATTTGTCAGTATATTTTGACTTTGCTTAAAATTGAACGTTCTCAGAACATGCTCTTGAATGTGGAATCAGTTGGGAGATATAAATACCATATGTATAGGTGATTGTGGAATATTTCTACACAAATAGGCAAAGTTGACGATGGAAAAGCTGAAGTCATTCTGTTTTCATACAGTTAATTTGTTAGCTGGCCATTAACTACTACAGTCGGTAAAATATCCGAAAATGAAGCATATGTGGCAGACTGCGGTGTCTTTTATCTCGAGTACACGGGGATATATCAGTTGACGTATGAATCTTAGATGGCCACAGAGATCTTTTATTGTAAAATTTGTCTTTTTTGAAGGCTCAGAAGCCTGTAGATTACCTCCGAAGCAAATGAGGTTCTTATTTCATCTATTCAGTGCTGAACTAATGTCACAAAGGGGGCATTTATGAATCAGGATTCCCAAGGCATGATTATTAAAACATATGAGACTTATGGTCTGACCTAGTGTATTGTGCCAAACCGTCGTATGGTCAGTTGTAGATCGAAAACTAGAAATATGTCCATAAGACATAAATGCTCTGCCCATAAAGCTAAATAGTTTTTTATCAAATGAGTATCTATCAGTTTATGAAAATTGATAAAAATATCTAGAACAGTTTCTTTGAAAGTGATCTAAACGCAAAATGAGGAAAAGTGAAATCCAGGTCATAGGGGAGGTTAATTAAGGTCACAAAATTATGACACAGTTGAATAGCTCTTATACCAATCAGTGTATGAGTTATGGTAAAAATATCTTGAATGTAAAATGTGAAGATAACGAACAGTGATCAATCTCATGAATCCAGTAAACAAATGAATCATGAACAGGCAAAAACAGAGACCCTGGAAACACCAGAGGTGGGATCAGGTGCCTGGAAGGAGTAAGCATCTCCTGTTGACAGATCTCACCCGCCATGAGCATTATGTATTAATCAGGTATATGGAGTACTCCGTAGTCAAATTTAGTATAAAATCAATGACCTATCAAATGGTATCAAACATGTCAGACAAAATACGACCCAACTCTAGATTGTATTTACAAACAAGGTCAATATAACGACCATAGAATTTGCAAAATGCTGACTTTAAACGGGGTTGTTGAAATCCTTGTATCATTTATTTGTCAGTAGCTTGCCTCTGTTCAAAAACTGATCGTACTCTGAGTATGCTCTTGCATATTGAGTTGGGAGACATAAACACCATATGCAGGTGATGTTGAAATATTACTTTCATCAGTTGACGATAGAAAACCGAAAGTCATCCCGTTTGTAATACAGTTAAGTTATAAGTTGGCCATTATCATTAAATAGCAAACAAACTGAATAAAAATGAGATGAAGGTCATAGAAGGTCAAGGTCAGAAAACTTTGACCGATTTGAACATCTCTGGCCAAAATGTATAAGTGTTAAAATTTTGATAAAAAAATATCGTGAAAAGTTTATTTAAAATTGAGCTAAATGAAAAATGAGGGACAGAATACGGAATTGACTGTAGACACTCTTCAGCCATATATAGGGCTGGGCATAAAAAAGAAGGGGATTTACACCAACCCCCCTCCCCATTTTGAAATAATGTAAAGATTTAAGTACACTGGAGATTTTCTTCCTTCTTCTTATTTTTTATTTGAAGCTAAATTGTTTCCTCTACCTCATTAATCACACCATGCATAAACCTGTCAGGATCTTTGTTCTTTAAGAAACCACCCATCTTTTTCTAAGTTTCAAAATGTATCTATCTCCTGTGTCTGGCCTCAAAGTGCACTGATTTGTAAACTACTGGTACCCCTATAAAATTATATTAAGAAAGATCTTACTTTACAATGCAAGCTGAATTGCTTATTATTCAAAGATGCGAGAGCTCTACCAGTGATAAACATTTTGTTATTGGTGATATTCCATGCCCAAACCTACTCAAATGCTTTCAAAACTGTTCATGCAATAGTAAACTTTGTCTGTATACAATCCTACTGTCTTTGTCTAATAATCCTATTTTCCATCTTTTTCATAGCCCTCTCCATGTTGAAGTCCAATAATCTTTGCAATATTCATCTCCTTTGTCTACTTGTCTTTGCATGGTTCTATTTCCCTTGTAAAAATACCTGCTCAAATCATCCCCTATACAGAATGGTCTAGTTGCCTCCTTCATCTATGAACCTCTTTAAAAGTATGTCTACATTTTGTACTTCTACAGTCAAGAATTTATCTAAAGTATAACCATAGTATTCCAAAAATATTACAGGCATCTGTAGATCTGCTGTCTATCCAGTCTTTTTTATAATAGTCTTACTGATGTCTACATTTGTTGTATTGTTAACAATGTGTATGATCCCTTCAACAACCTTGTCCATGGTCTTGGGCCCTGTTTTATTAAAGTCCTTCTAACAATAAGGCCACATACAATTAAAGAAACAAGTTTTTCTCATCTACTGTTTCATGTCTGAATTCATTATGTCTAAAACCTAACATATAAATAGGACCATATACATTCTTAATCAACACAGTCAAATTGATAACTGCTTTGCATATAAGTCTATAGTCATTTTGTCTTCATTCTGGTCTCTAGTTAATATATAGACTACAGTATTACCATGTACATGGTCATATGATCTATTACTTTGTCTATAAACTTACTGACTACTATCCTCACAGCCTACAGTCATATTGACTACTATCATGTCTAAAGTCCTATTGACTATTATCCTGTCTATAGTCATAGTCTTGTCTCCTTCCTTGTCTACAGTCATGTTGTCTATGCTGAGGTTTATCATGCACCTGCAAATCTTCATTCATAAACGTGATGAATTAGTGCCATGACATATTGTAGATCTCTCTCCAGAAATATTATACTCATTTTCTTACTGGTGTTTCACATTAAGCTGAGTTTGCTAGAATGTATTTTAGATGACTAAATCACATTTTACATATATTGGTGTGTAAATAACAAATGAAAAGTCATATTTGTTAAACACTGGATTGTTTATTAAATTATCTATTAAAGTGGTCTTCAAAACATAAATTATCCTTCACCACATTTGACCAAGGTAAATAGTACTCGATACTGATGGTTTTTAGATCTTTGGAAATAACATACAGACAATAAGAAAATGAGAGGTAAGAAACCTGTTTTCATGCATTTAATAAACAAGAGCACTAAAAATTAAATCAAACCAATAAAAAGGTTACTTCTCATGGGAAAAAAAATTAGTGGATTAAAAGGTAAACAATTGTGTAGTTATATGTGTATGTAATATCTGAAAAATTAGTAAAATCTGTAAATAATTCATTCAAATTCTCAAAAAAAGTTGTCAGCAAGTGTTCTTCTAAATCAGATAATGCCACCTTCTTTTCAAGCACTGACTAGAAAAGAAAGAGACATTTCTATCATTTCCTGTACCTAATAATACAAATTACAACCTTAATGCATAAAAAATACTGAAAAAATTGTAACAACTATATAGCACCTACATGTAAAAGGACTAATCAAAACTTGTTTCTGTGTCAAACAGAACTAGTATCTCTGATTTATGGCTTACTACTGATTAAAATGAATCTAATGCGGTGCATTAATATGCAGCTAAATAGCTATGGTTAGTCAATGGAAACAGAAAATCACTTGAATCCTGCGACTTTGTTGTTGACTGGTCGCTTCATGAATTTGTCGGATGCCATGTAGGCCTTGATTTTCGGGAGAGCCTCGAACCTCTCTGTGAACTTGAGGAGGTTTGGATAACTGTCGAGGATTCCTGACTTCATCAGTTTGTGCTGGTCCAACAGCTCGTACATTGGGAAGTCACAGATGGTTATCTGAAATTTGGATAACATTACTGATACCATAAGAATCTTTTCATAAAAACAAAAACCCAATATCTACATCAAGATTTTTTCATACTAATAAAAAAAAACGCTCTTATAAACATTGTGATTTCTCAAACTTAAAAAAAAAAATCTTTTTCAACATCATATTTCATGAAGTATGTTAACTTTTCTTAGACAGTGTTTTTGTTACACATAAACAAACAAATATGTAAATTATACACTTCATGCAGGATTTAAATATAAACCTTTTTTTTGCTCTTCATGCACAAATTATATATTAATATAAATCTTCAGAGCATTGCTTAAAATTCTAAGACTCGATCATTTTAAATCAATTTTTAGTACCATCACAAAGAGAGGTAACTCCTTTGGTAACCAGATCAATTGCTCAGAGTGCAATCACTTACATTTTCTCCAGCAAACCAAGGTTTACTTCCGAGGAATGTTTCAAACTGTTTGAGTTTGTCCTTGACATTGTTAAAGTAATCTTCTTTAAGCTTTTCCTGTTACAAAATTAAAAAAAATTTAAAAGAAAAATGTCATAAAAAATGATAAAAGGGATTTGTGTTACAATAAATTTATAGAATACAGAGTTACAAAGTTGTACAAAAACTTAGGTACAGTCAAAAGTGCTATAATATATCCATAATCCATAATTCTTTATAATATATATTCATTTGATTGAATAAAGGAAAAGGATAACTCGGTCATTTGTTTTAAGTTTTTTTCAAATATGATTCATGAAAATGACAGTTTGATATAAATATACATCACAGAACAATGACCTTTGGAAGTTGAAGGCAGCCAAATGATCTACCTCCTCTTAAATATCAACATTTAACATCAGGACCTGGGATCATGAAACATCTTTAGCTTAAGTCAAAATCTTTATCTTGTACTGAAATGTAGCAGTCATAATCAGACAAGGTGCCCAAAGCAAAAATATTCTTCAATATTGCATTCATAAAGAGTTTATACTTTAAATTGACAACTAATTTACATCTTATAGATGATTGAAAATTTGACTTAAGTCTAAGTCTGTTTCATGATCCTGGGGCCAGGATTGAATCTGTTATTAAGTCTAAGTTTGTTTCATGATCCTGGAGCCAGGATTGAATCTACTATTAAATCTAACTCTGTTTCATGTTCTTGGGGCCAGGATTGAATCTGTTATTAAGTCTAAGTCTGTTTCATAATCCTGGGGCCAGGATTGAATCTGTTATTAAGTCTAAGTCTGTTTTATGATCCTGGGGCCAGGATTGAATCTGTTATTAAGTCTAAGTCTGTTTCATGATCCTGGGGCCAGGATTGAATCTGTTATTAAATCTAAGTCTGTTTCATGATCCTGGGGCCAGGATTGAATCTGTTATTAATTCTAAGTCTGTTTCATGATCCTGGGGCCAGGATTGAATCTGTTATTAATTCTAAGTCTGTTTCATGATCCTGGGGCCAGGATTGAATCTGTTATTAAGTCTAAGTCTGTTTTATGATCTTTGGGCCAGGATTGAATCTGATATTAAGTCTATGTCTGTTTCATGATCCCGGGGCCAGGATTGAATCTGTAATTAAATCCAAGTCTGTTTCATAATCCCCGGGCCAGGATTGAATCTGTTATTAAATCTAAGTCTGTTTCATGATCCCGGGGCCAGGATTGAATCTGTTATTAATTCTAGGTCTGTTTCATGATCCTGGGGTCAGGATTGAATCTGTTATTAAGTCTATGTCTGTTTCATGATCCTGGGGCCAGGATTGAATCTGTTATTAAGTCTAAGTCTGTTTCATGATCCTGGGGCCAGGATTGAATCTGTTATTAAATCTAAGTCTGTTTCATGATCCTGGGGCCAGGATTGAATCTGTTATTAATTCTAAGTCTGTTTCATGATCCTGGGGCCAGGATTGAATCTGTTATTAATTCTAAGTCTGTTTCATGATCCTGGGGCCAGGATTGAATCTGTTATTAAGTCTAAGTCTGTTTCATGATCCTGGGGCCAGGATTGAATCTGATATTAAGTCTACGTCTGTTTCATGATCCCGGGGCCAGTATTGAATCTGTAATTAAATCCAAGTCTGTTTCATAATCCCCGGGCCAGGATTGAATCTGTTATTAAATCTAAGTCTGTTTCATGATCCCGGGGCCAGGATTGAATCTGTTATTAATTCTAAGTCTGTTTTATGGTCCTGGGGCCAGGATTGAATCTGTTATTAAGTCTAAGTCTGTTTCATGATCCTGGGGCCAGGATTGAATCTGTTATTAATTCTAAGTCTGTTTTATGATCCTGGGGCCAGGATTGAATCTGTTATTAAATCTAAGTCTGTTTCATGATCCTGGGGCCAGGATTGAATCTGTTATTAAATCTAAGTCTGTTTCATGATCCTGGGGCCAGGATTGAATCTGTTATTAAGTCTAAGTCTGTTTCATGATCCTGGGGTCAGGATTGAATCTGTTATTAAGTCTAAGTCTGTTTCATGGTCCTGGGGCCAGGATTGAATCTGTTATTAAGTCTAAGTCTGTTTCATGATCCTGGGGCCAGGATTGAATCTGTTATTAATTCTAAGTCTGTTTCATGATCCTGGGGCCAGGATTGAATCTGTTATTAATTCTAAGTCTGTTTCATGATCCTGGGGTCAGGATTGAATCTGTTATTAATTCTAAGTCTGTTTCATGATCCTGGGGTCAGGATTGAATCTGTTATTAAGTCTAAGTCTGTTTCATGATCCTGGGGCCAGGATTGAATCTGTTATTAAGTCTAAGTCTGTTTCATGATCCTGGGGCCAGGATTGAATCTGTTATTAAGTCTAAGTCTGTTTCATGATCCTGGGGCCAGGATTGAATCTGTTATTAATTCTAAGTCTGTTTCATGATCCTGGGGCCAGGATTGAATCTGTTATTAATTCTAAGTCTGTTTCATGATCCTGGGGCCAGGATTGAATCTGTTATTAAGTCTAAGTCTGTTTTATGATCTTTGGGCCAGGATTGAATCTGATATTAAGTCTACGTCTGTTTCATGATCCCGGGGCCAGTATTGAATCTGTAATTAAATCCAAGTCTGTTTCATAATCCCCGGGCCAGGATTGAATCTGTTATTAAATCTAAGTCTGTTTCATGATCCTGGGGCCAGGATTGAATCTGTTATTAATTCTAAGTCTGTTTTATGGTCCTGGGGACAGGATTGAATCTGTTATTAAGTCTAAGTCTGTTTCATGATCCTGGGGCCAGGATTGAATCTGTTATTAATTCTAAGTCTGTTTTATGATCCTGGGGCCAGGATTGAATCTGTTATTAAATCCAAGTCTGTTTCATAATCCCCGGGCCAGGATTGAATCTGTTATTAAATCTAAGTCTGTTTCATGATCCCGGGGCCAGGATTGAATCTGTTATTAAGTCTAAGTCTGTTTCATGATCCTGGGGTCAGGATTGAATCTGTTATTAAGTCTAAGTCTGTTTCATGGTCCTGGGGCCAGGATTGAATCTGTTATTAAGTCTAAGTCTGTTTCATGATCCTGGGGCCAGGATTGAATCTGTTATTAAATCTAAGTCTGTTTCATGATCCTGGGGCCAGGATTGAATCTGTTATTAAATCTAAGTCTGTTTCATGATCCTGGGGCCAGGATTGAATCTGTTATTAATTCTAAGTCTGTTTCATGATCCTGGGGCCAGGATTGAATCTGTTATTAATTCTAAGTCTGTTTCATGATCCTGGGGCCAGGATTGAATCTGTTATTAAGTCTAAGTCTGTTTTATGATCTTTGGGCCAGGATTGAATCTGATATTAAGTCTACGTCTGTTTCATGATCCCGGGGCCAGGATTGAATCTGTAATTAAATCCAAGTCTGTTTCATAATCCCCGGGCCAGGATTGAATCTGTTATTAAATCTAAGTCTGTTTCATGATCCCGGGGCCAGGATTGAATCTGTTATTAATTCTAAGTCTGTTTCATGATCCTGGGGTCAGGATTGAATCTGTTATTAAGTCTAAGTCTGTTTCATGATCCTGGGGCCAGGACTGAATCTTTTATCACTCACATAATCCCTGTTGTAGCATAGTCGAACAACTCCATTTCTGAAGTCCATAGCATTCTCTACCATCATATCACAGTCTACCTTCTCATGGGCCGTCTTACCCACTGACATAAAAAACAGAGAAATTCGTTAATTCGTAATCAATGGCTGCCAATGCCGACTGTTTTCAAGGATAATATATTTAGGAGAAAACTTTGAAATGTCAAGAATACTTCAAAATCTCTATGCTAAAAGTTTCAAAAGTTGATGAAGTAAAAGAAATTATCATTTTATTTAGTTACATGCATTGAAATTTAATTACACTTTCCAGGTCCATTTCAAAAATAAAAAATTAAAATTCAAGACCTTAATACAAGTTATTACAAATCAGAGACTTAAGGAGGAGAAGGACCTTGAGCTGAAAAAATACTTGTCACTCAATTCTTTTTTATATTTTGTATATTTCTTATTAAGTATGTCCCACATATCTTAAAGCAGTTATATCATTAGGTTTCTTACCTTATTTTGGAGATATTGATTGACAAATACTATGCCCTACAGTATCTAAGTGGAGTTTTAATTATCCATGTTTCCGGGTGCATTACTCTGTCCATAATGGGGTTTTTTTAAGCATACATATAAAAAATATCAAAGTGGACATGTATCTTTTAAAATATTTCAGAGTATAACTAGGATTTAAAATTCGAAAAAGCAAGTTTTGTCTATCACACTGCATCTGGATAGGGAAAATTACGCACTATTTAAGACAACTTAAACAATAAAAATCATAATTTACAAAAAATTCTATCATTCAATATTTTTTAATTTAAGTTGAAATGCAAATCCTTCAAATTATTGATTAACTGTAAAAGTTTCGAATGATGAAGCTGACATCATTATTTCACAGGACATCGTTAAAGAGGACATAACCATGACAAAAACGTGTCATGTTACATTTCTCGAGTACGGGAAAAACCAACTATGACGTCACACGTAAGCTAAATAAGCAAAATAAGATATACCTACGTAAGATTTCCGTCATCAGCCATGCAAAAATAATTTTTGTGTTCCCCGTTTCTCAAAAAATTTCATCATATACTGATTATGACCTGTTTTTATATAATAATACCGCCCCTCTGTTCACCGAGTATGATCTTGCTGTACTAACAGATCGTGTATGACGTCACTGACTTGTTGGACGCGCAGTTTAGGGAAACAGAGGAGTGGATCAATCTTTTTCAAAATTTGTTAATGTTTACAAGAATGTTAAAACTTTTTTTTATTTTTTTTTATATAAGATGGTAATTTAAGTTAAAAAATTGTCAAAAAATTATACAAGAACTGATGCTTTACAAGTTTTGCACTTATATAAACGGAGACTATGACGTAGTTAAACAGAGTCGTGTGACCATGTGTCCTTCATCCCCTTAAGGTGATTTTTTTAACATGTGTGACTTTTGCAAAAGAGACTGAAAATTGAAGCCACAATGATCTGTCACTATTCTTAATGAGCTAATATGTACAGTTGAACTTCGGTATCTCGGACATGGATATATTGAATACCATGGGTATGTCAAAGTGATTTTAAAGTCCCAAACTCTTATTCCTGAAATATTTTACCCCGGATATCTCGAATCCTTGATTATCTCAAAATATTTTCTCGGTCCCTTCGAGTTCGAGATAACAAGGTTTGACTGCAATTATTTTGTTTGATTTTTTTGTAACCTTGATATCCTTTTTAGTATAAAATGTGTACTATACTTACAGAGGTTGTGCTTATCCCCTATGTACCGAAGGATTGTGTTGCTCTGGGTAATTTTGATGTCCCCATCAATAAAGTATGGAAGCTGAAACATGTTAAATCAAATTAACAGTTTTTTAAATATTTTTTAATTGATAAAAAATCTGCGCAAGGGAATTACTAGTAAACATATACTAAAACGATCCAGCCAATATTCCTTAACATATCATACAAGAACAACAATTTTTCATGAAGGAATAACTCTGTATCATTAATAATTGCAAACCGAAAACCAAAATGGCATATACAATGTATTTAAATTAATATTCACTTTCTTAATATTCACACAATTTTGTCAGTGACAGCAATTTTCTGTACCACACAGACATCATGCATTTTTTCCATACTTACAGATTTAAAAAAAAAATCAACTAATTAGAGAAAAAAACAAAACAATTAAAACAAGTAAGCAACTGTGAAAAGAAATCATATACTCACATTTGGAAAAGCTAGTCCTAGTGTGTCTTTTACAGACATCCAAGCATCTCGGCTGTACTCTGGTGCTGAAATTGATCAGAAACATTTATCCGACATGTGCTACATGCAGTGTTTATAAAATTTTTAAGAATTTAAAATTTCTCAACAGACTTGTTGAAACTTTTTTGGTGAAATTATCACATTGAAATGAATGTAATGAGTTAACAAACCATCTCCCTGTTCATACTGGACATCATCAAATTCTTCTCCAACATAATTTAACAATAGTCTAATAGGCTGTGCAAGCTAAAACGAAGAGAAATGAGAAAATTAAGTCTACTGCATGGACCTATTTATAAGTCATATGGTGATCTGCATTTTAATGATGAACACAATCATGGACCTAATTAACTTGGTGGCGATTGGGGGTATATACCGCCGGAATGAGAACGGCAAAGGGAATTTATTTTTCAATGTATTTGATTAAAAGTTCAGCTTTAAGATTTTATATTTTAAAAATTTTGAACACATACACTGACGCACTGACATGGTTACTCACGACTAAAAGTCTAAAACTACCGGCATGATAACATTACGTAACTTAGCCTACCGTTCTGATAATCACTGTGCAACGTGCACTTGCAAGTTGACCTGCACACGTTTTACTTAATTTTGAATGTAAACTAACTTCAGATTATAAATTTAATTTACCCCTCTGATTTTCCAGTATCCGAGAGTCGGCATGATGGAAAGAAGTAACTTTCACTACACTAAAATGCGGCTACACTGTGCACCAATCGAAATTCCTTCCCCGAGCCCGATGGATAAAACTTCTTAAGTGGTTTAACAAGGTCTTCAAGATAAAGTCATGCAGAGACATATTACTTAGGATATGTACAGTAACAGAGATTAAATAAAACCGAGATAAACTAGGGCAAACAAATTATGTATTGATTTTATGTAGGCCTATCAGCCGTCGGCTTGGAATCTGACGTTTCCTTATTTGGGTGTAAGAATGCTGCGAGTGAGCGCGCGCGCTTTTTCAATTTTTTTTTTTCTGGGGCCTATAGACCGTTTCACGGTACTGCTCTTTTGCAGGGCAAATGATATAGTTTGGTGAAATAATACGTAAAAGTAATTGTTAAATATACATCATTTAATTAACTGACAACAAAACCTTCGCCAAATGTTATTATTTTACCCTGCAAAAGAGTAGTACAGTTACTGTGAAGGTTGCTGCTGAATTTTGCACGAAATATAACATAGTTCCATAAATGCATTTTAATACATTTTTTTTTCCATTTTCACAAATTATGGTTAAAAATGGAAACAAATTTTATCGTACATGAGTCCGTTTATGATTTAATCCGAATCATAGAAATTATCTATCATTTGATTGAGAGGGGAAAGGTTGACAATATTTTTTGAGTAAGATTTTTTTTTTTATTATTTTCATGCCTTCATAGGACGAGCATTTATTCTTAAGTTGACCAGAGGCAGACTGTTTTCTTCGCTGAAGAAGTTCAGAAAACCTTGGGGTTAGTATTGATTTAATACGTATACCAGCTTAGAAACTAGTACAGATTAAATCAATACTTAAACAATGGGAGAAAAGGTATTTTACTACCTTTACTAAATCACATTTAATTCCTCTGAGTCATACTGTAAAGAATTAAAAAAAAAATTTCTTATTTGTATGGAATAATTCAACTCACAAGGTTAATTCTTAACGCTGCGACACGAAAAGTCCGAACTTTCAGCTACCCTTTCTGTAAGACATAATTAAAAAAAAAATCCTGGATTTTTAATATGGATTTTTTTTATTATTATAACATCATGTCAACCTTAACTTGTACAGTGTACAGTAGTTTTCTTGAAAAGTTCTCTCAGATATAAAAAATCCCAGGGAAGAATGGAGGGATTATTCATCCTATCTAAAATCCCACCGAAATCCCCTGGGAGAAATAATACTGTGGGATAATTCGTCTTATATGGGAAAAATCCCTTGACTGTTGCAAAATATATATATAGCTTTTATGAAATTATTTTAGATAAGACATCTCATTTTTAAATTTGGGGGAATGGAATGGAACTCCTCATCCCAAAATTTTAATCCAGACAAATTTATAAATTGTGGAATTGAATATTCCACAATTAAAAAAGAAATTAAAAAAAAAACTTTTACGAAAAATAAATTTTAGATAAATGTCTTCAAACCCTGGTTACATATACATTGGATAAAAAAATGATGACAAAAAGTCTGAGGTTGCTGATGACCCACCTTTATTTTATAATCAAAGGATTCATAGTCATTTGGTCAAAACTTTTTTATGATAAATAAATGTTTGACAGCGATATTAGACAACTTAATGATATCATGAATGAAGGTGGTTTATTTTTAAGTTTTGAATCTTCTTGCGATACTTATCCAAAGATGAAGATCAATTTATTTTAAGAATGAAATATGAAGATAACGAACTGTATTCAATCTCGAAAGTCCAATGAAACGACAAATTTGGACCTCAAAATTTAGAGGTGGGATCAGGTGCCATGGAGGACTGAGCATCCCCTGCCGACCGGTCACACCAGCCGTGTGCTCCTTGTCATGATCGACCCCCCCCCCTCCCCCCGGAAAAATCCGTAGACCGTTCAGTGTGTAAATAATGGTCTAACAATTAGTATGAAAAACGTCAGTCAACATTTCACTCATTGATAGAATGTAATACTAGAAGTATTTATGCTATAAGGTCTTGGATAGAAAATTTTGGCCTTGACAAACCTATCAAAGAGCATGAATTCCATTCATAATCTATGTCAGATATTTACATCGTGATAACATGTCACAAATCAAAATGTTCATATGAAACTCTTCATAAAACTTTCTGTTTCAGCAGGTAAAACACAGTGGAGTGAGATTTTGCAGGCCGATAATAAAGAATGAGGGAAAAAAGAAAACCAAAATACATGTACCTTCAAAGTGACAAAAGACTGCAAACCCCAGTGGTTTCAGAAAAGAATTATGAACAGAATCTAAGCAACAAATTCATTTTTATTCAAAATATTTTTTGTCATTCTGAAGAAGAAACAATAGAATACCTTTTATGGGAATGTGATTATGCACAATTATTTCTAGTCGAATTTGTACTTTTTTCCTTGTAGATCAGACTACTCTGGTGATAAATGTTAAAAAGAAATCTTCAATTTTAGGTTTTTGTTTTAAAGTAATAAAAATACATGTATTTTTATTCTATAGCTTAAATATTAAATTTATACAGGAGGATATACTGAGAAATATTTGAATGTATGTTCTGCAATATCGCAAATGATTTTTTATTATAAAAGTACACGATTTATTTCTTATAAAAATGGTGGAATAGAAAAGTTTGATGCCCAAATGGAACAGATGAAATCTATGGAATCCGGATAGGGCCACGTAGTTCACTAGTTTTTCTCAGAGCAGTTTGCTTTCCTTATATCCTCATTTTGCAATTTTCATTAATATATATGGCTCTAAATTCGCTCTTGAGTACATCTGGGAGGACAAATAAAGAATTCTGTAGACACGTTTTTTTCTTAGATTTCTTTATGTGTATTTGAAGTTTTGACTCTAAATAGGACAAAAAAATGTTTGAATAGATAATCAAGTCAAAAATAAATATTTTATTAATGTTTAAAATATGTGTCACGTAACACATGACAGACATATAACGTAACATGACAGACGTTTGATAAAACGTGACATGATTAAATTACATTTCTGATGCTTAGCAATACAAATAATCCGTAAAAAATAAAATTAAACAATTCCTTAAACAATGCAATTTTTTTTCCCACTCTTACGTAGAAGAAAAAAGATTTTTAAGCTACTTTTGATGCACAAACTGATGATCGTAACACTGACAGACTCCTTTACTTAGCCAGCCAAATCAACCATAAACTTTCATTATTTTATCACAAAGATAATGTTGCCGTAAGAAATAGACATTATTCAAATTTTTATTCCTTATAGATTTTAAATTTGAATTTTTAAAAAATAAATCTCTGCTATGCGCTTTGTAACATACAATATTTCCACCATGTCTGTCATGTTACGATATTTCTTGAACAATACCTGTTTGAAACGAGCCAAAAAAAATTACCATTCAAAGCTTATCTTTTATTCTTGGAATTTATAATACAAAAGACATCATTTATTATAAAAATACTAATGAAATTTAAAAAAATAGATTATTTCATATAGATCAAACCTATATCGTAACATGTACGGATGCACGTAACCCTGACAGACTCGTTTTAAAAACTGCAAGAAAACAACTACAAAACTATATTGTTTAAGTTGTAAAGACAAATTTTACCTTATGATACATTAATATTCTTAAATAAAAATACTTTTTCATTTAATTCACTGAACATACAAATCTGAATGCACCGGTTTGATTCACGTAACATGAACAGACATTCGTTTTGTCCGTCACCGTTACGATAGTATTCAGGCAATGTCTGTCAATCGGTACGTTATGTAAGAAATGTCAAATTTTAAGTGTTTACGTAGTGATGAAGAGCGCAAGTTCATATTTTTTTTTTTTAAAAAAAGTCCAAAATACACCTACTAGCTGACAATATTTGATGATATGTGTTTAAAATCTAGGATAAAGACAACTTATATTTTCATGAACGTAACATGCTTTGTGTAACGTAACACTTGACAGACAAACGTTCGTGGCTTCTCGGGCTCTCTCTGTAGCTCTTCTTATCGAATTGTAAACACATTTGCATAGAACACTGGAGGAAATTTCAATATTCATAACCTTTAAGTCAAATGTATAAGAAGAAGCATCTCCAAGCTCCATTCCTAAAATAGAACGTAACGCCCACTTGCCATGACAGACACCGGAAGCATCCCACAGATTTGTTAATTTCTAAGCACACGTGCTTTTCTGTTGAATCTGCGATCACTTAATTGATAAACAGGTAAATTTTCTATCAGTAGACAAAAAAGATAAAATAGTTTGCATAAACAATGGCCCAGTTAATAACAATGTACCCGGTGTATTGAGTCTGACAGACGTTACGTTCAAAATATGAGAAGAAATAAATTCCAATTTTTCTTTTATTTTAGACATAATGTGCATTAAAGTACTTTTATATGTTAATTTTATCCTTCCTAAACAGTAGTGAATGAAGATATAATGTGTACAAGGTATAATCGCCGTATATTTGACTTTTATTTTGACATGGTTGAAAATGTCCCCCTACACATGCGTAATTCTAGTGGAATTATCAAATTCATTTCAAGAAAAAAAAAGTAAGTTGATGAAAAAATCTGCTTATTTTATCTTTTTTATATATTTGCAATATACTTTTCAATATAAAACATTTCTCATTTCAATTTTTTAAATAATTCATTTTATATTCCTCTTGTTAAAATCATAGGTCAAGATGTACTCAAGAGCGAATTTAGAGCCATATTCTAATGAATATGGCATATATGGTGACCCAATAAACATAGTAATAATTTCTGTTTTTGACTTTTAATTCATACAGTTTCCACAGTTTTCTAAATCTTCTGTCTCTCTCCTTTATCTTTCTGTCTATATAAAATAACACATCATATTGTATTAAACTCAATGTATGATTTTTTAAAAGATGTGTGAATGACAAAGAGGTATACAACAAGGCTGTCCAGTATCTGCTCTATTATGTATTATACACTGTAACAGTTGAAATATTAGCTATACGTATCAAATCTTCGGAAGATACACACGGTTTTAGAATTGAGAACAATTGTAATGAGATTTTGCAACACGCAGACGATTCTACAAATCCACTTACAGATACAGAATCTGCAAAAACATGTAATTTGAGTAATTATTATTTAAAAACACTAGGAATATACGTAGAACACAATAAAAAATTATGTTTAGAAAAAAAATTGCAGGATAAAATTGATACAATGACCAAAATATTAGATTAATGGGTAAAGAGAAAGTTAACAATTTTTGGGGAAAAAAAGAAATGATTAACACAATATGTATTTCAAAACTGCAGGAATGCAACAATGCTTCCCAATCCACCTGAGGAAATTATTTAACAAATAGTAAGTAAATCAACACTCAACTTTCTATGGAATACTAGAGACCTATAAAAATAGTAGTTTATTAAAATACACTTATTGGAAAGGAAAAAGAAGGTGGGATTAACATTAAAGATGTTGAGTCTAAAATCAAGTCATCCAAGGTATTTTGGGATCCAAGATTACTTCATACAAAATCTAGTCTGGTATCATTCGTGAACCATGTATTTAATAGAGAGACATCATCATAACAATACATTTTAAATAATAATAATGTATATGATTATAATGAAATAAAAATATTCCTATCTTTAATCAGAATTTATTAAAAAAAAACTTCTACATGAGAAGAAGAAAACACTTGCTGTGGCCTTCAACCTCGAGCTCGCAGCTATTGCAGAAAAAGTTTTACATAACCCGCTCACGCGGATTATGTATTTTTTCTGCAACAGCTACAATATTTCCGTACTAACAACCAAAAAAAAGCATTGTATTGTTTGAGTGAAGTTGAAATAAAAGACACCACAGAGTCTAACACATCTGTTTCATATTTGGATGTTTTACTGACTATAGACGATAAAGGCAAGCTAACAACTGAATTGTATGATAGACGAGATGATTCCAGCTTTTCCATCGTCAACTTTCCTTATTTATGTAGTAATATCCCACTATCACCTGCATATAGGCTTAGCATCTACCAACTTATTCGATTCTCACGAGCATGCTCCGAGTACGATCAATTTTTAAACCGAACCAGGCAACTGATAGATAAGTTGATGTTACAGGAATTTCAACAACCTCGTTTAATGTCAGATTTCTTAAATTCTATAGTCGTTATAATGACCTTGTAAGCAAATGTAACCTGTCATTGAGTTGTATGTTATGTGACGTGTTTCATACCAATTGTTCAGCTTTTATACTGAATTTGCCCGCGGAATGTTCCGTCTACCTGATCTATACATAGGGCTCACGCCGGGTGTGACCTGTCAATGGGGGATGCTTACTCCTCCTAGGCTTCTGATCCCATCTCTGGAATTTCCAGGGGTTCCTGTTTATGCCCTCTTCACATATTTGTACTTTTTTCTTTATAAAGATTCAATTTGTTCATTCAGTACTAGTGCAAGTAAAATGATAAAATATTGTCCAAAACTATCCGAGGTTTTATCTTTACCTAATATATCTAAAAACAAACTTTTTACACAAGAGAGCAAATCGATTTTCTTTGAAAACTGGATTAAAGCAGGGATTCTTTATTAGGAACTTCTATAATAATATTTTAAATAATGTTATACAACAACATTTTGTGTGAATATCTCATTCTGAAGACTATATTTAACAATTTTTCAAATACATATATGCGTAAAAAGGCACCATATATCAAATTATGACACAAATTTTATGTACTCAGCCGTAAAAGGGACTTGATGAGTGTTATATTATTAACCAACGTAAAATCATCTGTGATTTACAATAAAATCATTGAGAAACAAAATCTTAAGTCCAAAAACAAAAAAAAAACTTATGGAGTGAACTGTTTGATACTCCCAGATATCTATATAACCTTTTATTTAAATTTAACTGTAATGACTCAAATTTTATATGGCTTAAAATAAGCTCAATTGTAGGTATTAAGATAAGCTGTAAGCATAGTGTCATAGGTTTTGTTTTTAATGAAAATACAGATATTATTAATGGTATGAATATATTAATACCCTTCACTGCATTAAAAAATACAAGATGTAGTGTAGATAAACAAATTCAATTTGCAAGAAAGATCCCTTGTATAATTTTGTGAAATAATTGATTCAACCAATAGGAAAGATAAAATGTACAAAAAGTACGAAAAGTGTTCCTATTGGTTGAACCAATTATTTGGTAGATCGAGTTAAACTAAGACAACATACCGAACAAAATATCTTCATATTTGTCTTTTTAAATTCATCTTTCTCATTTTTGCTGTTAAGAGCAGATTTCTATGTTATAATAATAATAATAAAGTTAACTTGAAATTAAACTTTCACATTTTAAAGGTTTTACCTAGTACACTCCCTAGAGCATTGGACATCCGTCTCATTCAAAAACAAGCGCGCGGTTTGCAATTAATTCGCAGGAAGTGTGTAAGACATACCCTTGTTGCACTTCATGTCTGAAACAAGTTTAATTTATCATCGGCTGATATAATATCTTTTATTTCAATAAAATGCTTTCTTTGGTTGTTAGTATGGGAATTAGCTGTTGCAGAAAAAATGCATACAGCCCGCGTAAAAACATTTATATTTATATCTATATAAGTAATAATATAACATTAAATGTTACAAGTATTATTGATATGTACGTCATTGTTTGTATTATTAATGGAAGAACCGCCACTGCAGTCAAGAAATCTTTACAGGTGGCTTGCTCAGTGTCGTATACGTACTGACAAGTGACAGTGGTTTCATAAGAAATAAAGGGGATAATATTCAGTGGATATTACGACTGTGAATCATTCATAATGACACTAACTAGTTACCGCCAAAAATTCACGTGACATACTCTATCAGTTCGCTTACCTCACTGTCCGATTTCTTATTTTTTAACTCCCGGAAGTAGATAAGTGATGTTTGTTTCTCTCATATCTTTTTAGTCTATCTTAGGTATGTCTGACAATAACCTTTGGGAATATTATGGTCGTAAAGCAGCCTATATTTTACCCAGGAACTGAAACTGAAGACCCACAGGAAGCAGAGAATTCTAAAGGAGAAGTTGTTAAGGCGTATATTCAACAAATGACCTTTCCTTATTTCATAATTTTAAAAAAAATCGTAGCTTCATATACATTATCATAATAATAAAAAGTAAAAACCATTACCGATGCCGGGGCCATAAAACTTGGAGGTGCTCACTTTTGATCTCAGTTTCACTTTTCTATTATCAAATCCTTTGTTAAAAGAGTTAGATAAAAAGGTGAGCTCGTCAAAGTTTTATGGCCCCGGGGCCAGTCCTCGGGCCTGTACTAATGTCAAGATAGCGTCATCTCAGTAGTATTGAAATTAAGGGCATGATTTAATACAAGCCTTACCACGATCTTAACACATTCTCTAAAATATCACACATTTTTTTTTTAAAAGTTATACACTAATCCAAATAACTATATATTTGTAGTCTTGATGGAAACCATTACACACATACAAAATCATTTTAATTCACCCAGATGCAAAAAGGTGGATGATGAATCAAGTGATAAGATGGGAGTTTTTCTTTGGTCACACGCTAGCATATCACACAATTTTTTTTTTGTTAAAAAAGTTATACACTGATCCATATAACTATATAAGCAAAAAGGTGGATGATGAATCACGTGATTAGATGGGAGTTTTTCTTTGGTCACACGATTCATAATTTTCATTTTTATCATCGAGTAGATCAAAATAAATTCACCGGGAAATGAACAAAGTAATACACTGAGTGTGCTTTTGGGGGGTAAAATAAATATTTTCAGTGTTCAAAGAGGATTTAATAAAAAAAAATATATATTAAAGGTTCCTTTGTTGAACCTAGTACAGAGAATCAAAATGGAAACCGAGTCAACACCTCTCGTCAATAATTCAGATTCGAAGTGTTTTGTTATTTTTCTGACATGCATGGCAGCATTGGGAGGACTGCTATTTGGGTACGACACTGGAATTGTTTCTGGATCCATGCTGTTGATCAAGGATGATTTCAAGCTATCGTCTGTTTGGCAGGAAGCTATTGTCAGTGCCACCATTGGAGCCGCCGCCATCTTTGCTCTTATTTCAGGAACTCTGGTAGATTTACTTGGAAGAAAAGTCGTCATTATGCTTGCAAGCCTCGTTTTCACTGTTGGTGCGGTTGTTATGGCAATTTCACCCACTGATATGAAAGAGGTTTTGCTCATCGGTAGATTGATAGTTGGAGCAGGAATAGGTGAATATTAATTAGTAAATTTTTTTGCCAACAGCTACATGCAAAAATTTCCAAAATTGCTAAATGCTACAAGTCTAAAATTCTCTCTACATTTCCCTTCATATGTTTAAGGCTTGAAATCTAGCCCATTACTTATCTAATGTTTTTTTATTAAGAAAATACGTAATTTATTATTTGCCTCTAAAACCTTTAAGAGGAAAGTTGTAAACATGATAAATGAACTAAAATGAAGTGCTTTAAAGAATGTACTCAGACCTTTCCAGAGGATTTCAGATATCGATATCAGTATACATGTACTCAGTCCAAAACACTTTGTGATACCTTGATCGGAAGACAAAACAGTTACTCAAGTGTTATTTCTGAAGTACATCTTTAAAGTTTGATTAAAATAATTCAATTTACATTAATCTTTAATGATTTTTGTCATTATATTAATTATTAAGCATAATTTTAGAGAAACACCAGACAACCGATGGTTTGATGGTGCAATATATATTATAATAATTACATGTACTTGCCGAAATTTGTTTCAGTGCACAAAAGTAATAAAATAGAGTCGTATATTTACGAACTCGAAACCGATAAATACTTATGTATCTATAATTATGTATTACGCAAAAGATTAGATTATAAAAGAAAAGTATATATCTTGTTATTTATTCCAACTGATAAAATTATCAAAGTGATAAACTACCGGTATAACACTTGGCATTCATTCTAGAACCCTCCATTTTTATTTAGTATATCTTCAAACTTATATTGTTCACATCAAACACATGCAACACTCAGTGAAAAAGCAAATTTCCACAAAATTTGATTTTTTATCATTAATATTGAAATTCTGCATAATAATATGTTTATAAAATGGTGTAATACAGGGTTTGCCTCTATGTCTGTGCCTGTGTTTATTGCTGAATCCGCTCCAACAAACATCCGGGGATCTCTAGTTACTATGAACCAACTCTTCATCACTATAGGAATTCTTCTTTCCAGTATTGTGGCTGGGGCTTTCAGCACTGATAAAGAAAACGGATGGCGGTACATATACAAGTGCAATACCCATAATTTAGCATTGAATGATTATTCTTGTGTTTCTGTACTTAACGGTGCTATAAATTAACACATTTTGTTCACGCAAAATGTATAAAGTGCAAAAATAATCATGAAACACTTATTTCATTTATATTCTTTACTTTAAAGGATTTTTTCTTGTATGTTCTGATTCATATATTATCACAAGGAAGTCAAACGTACGCTTCATACACACGTATATGCAGAAAACAAGTCTAGAAAATCAACATTGTAATATAAAATTTTCTCTTTTGATTTTTATATAAAATAGAAATCGAGTGAAAATATTAAAATGTTTATTATTTGAGGCTGCTAATCTCATAATGCGCTGATCTTATGTTAGGTACATGCTTGGACTAGCCGGTGTCCCTAGTGTCATTCAGTTTTTTGGATTCTTCTTCCTTCCCGAGAGTCCTCGGTGGCTGCTCGCCAAAGGACGTGAACAAAAAGCAAGATCTGCCCTGGAAAGAATAAGGGGATCAAGGGACATAACCCAGGAATTGAATCATATACAACAATCTGTAAATGAAATGAAAGAGGAAAACAAGTATAGTGAGTATAGAATATAATAAACCTCTCCTTATAATTACTTGTAGTGGTGTCTGGGACTACCACGATTATCAAAAATAGAATTAATTTATGAAATCATTACCAGTTCAATTTTTCCCATTAAACCACTATATAACATGAACAGCCAAAGATGGATATCTCAAAAACGACTGAACTGTTATTAATAACTATGAGACAGCCGATAGTACGCAGTGCGTCAAAATCATAAGATGGCGACCGTCACACTTACTTCGATATTTCTCTGGTTTCGACATACATCATTAACTGTATTCATACGTATGCTTCTTTTAGTAATTTCTGTAACGTCTGTATGGTAGAAAAACTGTTTTGGAGAAATAAAGGGGTAACATGCTTCATGCTTTTTTGGCAAAATGTCTCAGTAACTAGAACGAGTTCTTTTCTTCAGTTACTAGTATACGCTCTTTTAACTTTTAGAATGATTAATATATATAATTATGTTCTATTCTTTACCACAGATTTCTTCCAAGCATTCCTTCTGATGATGAAGACACAGCCAGTCAGACGTGCTCTTTTACTGGGATGTCTTCTACAACTGTTTGGTCAACTCAGTGGAATCAATACTGTCATGTAGGAATCTTTGTCTTTTATTTGGGGAAGCTTGATCAAGCTATAAAGAATATTGTTAAATTTTATGACATAGATGTGACCCCTGCCTTTGAACTGTTAAAAAGTCACTGTTCTGATGAATATACACTGTAATGTATAGTTTTTTTTTAAACAGTCGAAATGCTTAAAATCTAAAATCGCATATAATTATGTATTAATATTATATTATTTATCTTTTTTAAAAAATACCTTCCTAGGTAGGTAAGTAGTTCAAATATTTTTTTCTTCCGAGATGGGGGCTGAATCCACACATCGATCGATCGATTGATCGATCGAGAGGGGTTCCCGATCCCATACAACATGCTCATGTACATTAATGTTTTTTCGTTCTAATAAAATTTACAATATGAATCAAATAGACTCAGATGCTGAACTACGTATTACTTTAATTTATCTTAGTGTAGACTTGCTCCGCGATCATATAGATTTAACTTTAGTCCAGCGCAGAAATCCAAAGATGTCACCATTTCAAAAGACCAGTACAGGAGAAACATATACATTCTTATCCCTCAAATATATACGACTATTTAACAGTTGTTTAAACACTTGATAGCCTCAGTCCTGCTTACGGAAAATAAGAATAAATATTTGCAATCTAATTAAAATTAGACCTTTCATCTCGCTCTTCGTAAATTGATTTGTCGCTCGTTCACGAGCGACAAATCAATTTACGAAGAGCGAGATGAAAGGTCTAATTTTAATTAGATTGAAATATTTGATGCTTGGTACCAAATTCAGTATGGCAAAGTATTTAAGATACCCCTTCGCATCATAGGTAAATATTAATTAGAGCTCTGTTTCTTTTTCAAACAATGGATTTTTTAAAATTCTGTATTAAGGTGCTGGCTTAACTTCGTTCCGAAATTATTTTTTTTAATACTAATATCTGAAATATGTACAGCGGCTATAATTGAACAGACCGTTCAAGAGAGCTACGTGTAGCTACATGTAGCGACTAGAATGTCAGCATATTTCTAGATATTCCTCTTACTCAAACTGCACAACAATATGATACAAATATATACCAATTGCATTTACAAAATATACCTTAATCAAATAACAAATGAAAATTGCTATTGCCAAATATTGTATTTCTGTGGTTTTTCAGTTATTACAGTGGAACTATTTTGCGTATGTCCGGGTTTCCCTCAGATCTAGCTATCTGGCTGGTTTGTATTCCTTTTGCTGTCAACTTTCTGTTCACCTTTATTGGGATCTACGCAGTGGAGAGGGCTGGTCGACGTATCCTCACGCTATCCAGCTTTATTGGTACGTATCATGAGATCATGTGATGTTAAAGATTGGACTATATCGACGTAAAAGTGACCATTTATGGAATATGATAACGAATAGTAATCAATCTCAAAAGTCCACTGAAACAATACAAATTTGAAGCAGTGCAAACATGGACCTCTAAAAACATCAGAGGTGGGATCAGGTGCCATGGAAGAGTGAGCATCCCCTGTCGACCGGTCACATCCGCCGTGTGCTCATTATCATGATCGGGAAAAAACGGAAAAATCCGTAGACAATTAAGTGTGTAAATAATGGCCTAAAATTAGTATGAAAAACGTCAGCAAGCTTTTGACTTAATGATAGGTTGTATTTGCTGACAAATAAATGAGATAATCTTCGTTGAATACATGTACATGTATGTAAAAATATTCTACATTGTATCTTGTCCTTTGCAGGAATCATCGTGGCATTGGTTGTTCTGGGACTTGGGTTTTGGTTTTCTGATAAACATTCTCCAACTATTGCTCATCATCTTGATAATTCCTCCATCTGTCACACCAAATATCAGTAATTATCTTGATCTTTCTACTGTCCTAGGTTGATTTTGTAGTACAGCGCCATTTTTACTCTTGAACATCCTTATTGTTTAAGGATAATAAGTAATCATTAAGGAAAATATTCACACAAGATCAGATACATGTACTTTCAAATAACATTAAAGTGTTTCGTTAACAATAACCAATCAGTTCAAATACTTGATACGTCATATTTTTTTAATTTGTGTATCCTTTCTATCATTCTACAAATAAAGTAGCGGTATTTCGAATTCAGATCGTGTAGTGCTTGCATAAAGAATGACAATTGCGGCTTTTGTTGGGAGAAGCATCATCCAGACACGTCTGGATACTGCCTCCACGTGAACAAGGACTATCCCGAGCGGTATGCCGATCCCGTTGTGAATTCCTCTACCCACTACAATGAATCAATGTGTAACCAGACTAACTACCACACCAAACACTACGGCTGGGCCAATGACTTCTGTCCAACGGATTACTCATGGATGGCCGTCCTGGGACTTGCGCTCTTTGTCATGTCGTTCGCGCCAGGTATAATTGTATATTTTTTAAAATGAGAACAAAAAGGTTTTAGCTACAAATATGCATGTCAAAGTGACAGTAAAATATGTATGAAGGACTCCTTACATTTTGGAGTGTTCACATTGAATTTAAGGAAATTTGCTTGTATCGCAAGTACTAGTTATAATTTGCATTACTAGTAAATGAATTCATATTTCCTTGTTCGTGAGAAAGACCTTCAAAGAAGTCACATGTATTTCATCCAAATAACTTTGAGATACACTATTCTCAGAGAATCGCTTTAGTTATTTTTTCTTTGTTCATGAACTGCACGAATATATTGCAAGTTGTTACTGCAATTTTTAAAAGGTCTGCCTTTCAATTCCTACTGTAGGTCTAGGTCCAAATCCCTGGACCATAAATTCAGAGATTTACCCGTTATGGGCGAGAGGTACAGGAATTTCCATAGCAACATTTGTGAACTGGGTGGCTAATCTGGGAGTCTCGTTTTCATTTCTGACACTTCTTGAAGCCATCACTCCTTACGGTAAAATCATAAACCAATTAGGCCAATTAATTTTAGCAATAGTGAAATCGAACATTATACAATTGTTGCTATTTTTTCAGTCAATACGATGATTTACACACCTGAGGAATGTCGAAGGGTGCGGTGAATATTGTGTCTAAATCATCGTATTGACTGAAAAAAAACCCAGCAATAATTGTATATCATTTTATGATTGAATAATTCCTAGCTATCTGATTGGCTGTGATCCAACACTGTAGAAAAGAGCCAGAAATTATTCACTCATATTAAATAATGGATAAGGGATATGTCAAGATACAAATATTAGAAGAAACTGTTAAAAAATGTTAAATTAGATTTCAGAGATAACAGCAAATACAATCAAAAATGTAATTGAACGACTCTCTGGAAGGTTTGAAAGAGCATTAAAGAATAATATCGGGTTCAATTTCCAGGTACATTTTTCCTGTATGCCGGAATTTCGTTTGTCGGAATGATCACACTTTTTATCCTGCTGCCGGAGACTAAAAACAGGTCTTTGGAGGAGATAGAGAATTTGTTTATGACTGAAGAGTACCGACTCAGAAGGGATCCACAGAGACAATGTACGGTCCAGAGTACAGTGTTTTATAGGGATGTTGAACATGCGGAGTAAAAACGAACTGTTTCGTTTAAGTGAGCAATTGCAAGACAGATATATATTATCACGTATATTGCCCCGTGTATATTTACCTCAACTGATGCATGTATTTTAACGAAATAAGTATTAATTACTGCATCAACAATGTACTTTTCTGTCAGTCTTTTCCATTTTTTTTTTTTTTTTTTTTTTTTTGTACAATACATTACTGGTTGACTAATTCATGCAGAGATGTATCGACTGTTTGATGTTATTTTTAGGTTAAAACTTCATTGATGAATATCAGATAAAATAAGTGAAAAAAAATAACATAATTTATTCCATCCTATAAACATTCAGTTAAACAATAAAAGGCTTTCTTTGGGTGTTAATATGGCAATTGATGTTGTAGCTGTTGCAGAAATAAAAGCATAACCCTCGAAAGCGGGTTATGTAATTTTTTTTTTAAACAAACTAATAACGTGTGCTTTTAAATTTATCAGTAAAATGTGCATATTCGCCACTGAAAGCATCATGGGAACGAAACCCAAAGAATAATTTGTATATAGTAATAAACTTCTTTTCATGTCAAGAGAAAATGTCAATTAATGAATATCTGGTATTGATATTGTTGAAATAATTGAAGTGAAAGTGGTATGAGTGGTGCAATCTAAGTTTTCACATTGTACTAAAGCTGCTAACAAATTGGGCTTTACTCTTCTGAATACAGTATTTTGTGTTACATAATAAGCCTATTAAGTGTGAAAAGCTAGTTTTTACAAATATTGTGCTGATAAATTTTTCAGTAAAATGATGACGTGCATTTTCGCTTCTCTTATCCTTGATGGAAATGGAAACAGAGCATGTAAATTCAACAGGCATCAAAATAAAGTTGCTAACATGTAAAGAGAAAATGTCAATAAATGAAATTAATTGGTACTTTTCAAGTTTTTACCAAAAATTGTTGGGACGTACATGTGTATATCTACTTCTGTTCCTAAACTAACTGCGGGATTTTGAACAACTAAAGTGGTATTTCTTCTTGTTATAAGAACGTATAAATAGCTGTCAGTAGAAACTTTATGATATATTATTGAAATTGTTCCGTCAGCAGTGGTACAAAAACAAGTTCTTCGCGCTCGCGCAGATTTCATCTGGTCTCTAAGAAATTGTTTTTATACTCATGAGTTCACTACTTGGACTGACTTTTACGTATTGACTCGCTGTTCCTTTGTCAGACCCGCATCAGAAACATCGAAGATCCACTGGAGAGCAGGCAGCAACACACAGAAACCATAGATACAACAGATTTAACCCATAATAAAAGTCTAAAGGCATTTCACATACTCCAGATCTATTGACGTCTCAGATTACATGTACATTAACTGAGCGCTTTTCACGGGAACAATATAGTCCTTCTTATATTAGTATACATAGAAATCGCTGCATTTCGTTTCCGAATTCAATAAATCAAGAATAAATCATTGACATCCAACATAAATTCGGAACAATCACGGACATATAATTCAGTCCAGACATTATTAAATTTAGTGATAAAAAATTACATGTTCATTTTATTCATACAAAACTTTTTATCAGACTTAGTGCTGTATGTATATACAGTGTATTGTAATATTTTTATTTGAAAAATGTGGTTTGAAATAAGTGTAATGTTTATATCTTGTTAAAATTTTATTCCCACTTATATTGTTAACATTAAACAGGTATGTACGATTTCAAAATATGGAAGTCAAGAACGATAACTGAAAGTTGCAATAAATATCCATCATATACATGTAAATATTATTCTGCCCAATCAGACAAGAGCAATTTTACACACTCCAAAACATATTTCAAAGGAATTTTTTTTTAACAATTTAACAGGTCTGGACGATTTCCAAATATGGAAGTCAAGAACGATAACCGTCAATTGCTATAAATACACAGAATAAACAAGGTACGAATTCTTCTGACCAATCAGATAACGGCATTTTGACAAACCCATGAGAAAATAAATAAAACACGTGGTTTTAAAGTTTTTTGCTCAAGGTATTTTTAGGACAAACTTTTTGTAAACGTTATGTAAATTTAGGAATGATATAGTATATATGACAATTTTACCGTGAATATTCACGACTTGAAAGCTTATCTAGAATAAATTCTTAGTGAGATTAAAAATCTGTAACTACGAAGTAGCAATCCCAAAAGTTTAACTTGTGTTAAGACATTTGATATAAATACGGCATATTTTCAGGTTTTAGAGCCTGACGTATGTCTTAATTATTTCCCGAAGACCACTTTAGTAGTAAAAAGACAATGGTATTGTATAAGCAGTTTACCGTTTCTCAACAGATACTGTTGACAAATAACACGCAAGCTTTTATTAAAAATGTTTAGTTTTGATGCAAATGATTGTATTTTTAGTCTTGGTAGAAACCTTTACACAGAACAATTCATTTTAATTCAGCCATATGCAAAAAGGTGGATGATGAATCACGTGATGAAATGGGAGTTTTTGTTCTGTCACATGACTCATTATTTTCATTTTTATCATCGAGTAGATCAAAATTAATGCATTGGGAAATAAAGAAGGATGACACTAATTGTGCTTTGGAAGGTAAAATAAATGTTTTCAGTATTCGAAGACGATTAAATTTTTTTCAAAAAGAGAAAACAAGGCTTGTTTGTTAAACCTAGTACAAAGAATCAACATGGAAACCGAGTCAACACCTCTCATCACAGAATCATATTCGAAGTGTTTTATTATTTTTCTGACATGCATGGCAGCCATCGTAGGACTGCTCTTTGGGTACGATACTGAAATTGTCTCAGGATCCATGCTGTTGATCAAGGATGATTTCAAACTGTCGTCTGTCTGGAAGGAAGCGATTATCAGTGCCACCGTTGGAGCTGCCGCCATCTTTGCTCTTATTTCAGGAACGCTGGTAGATTTACTTGGAAGAAAAGTCGTCATTATGATTGCCAGCCTTGTTTTCACTGTTGGTGCGGTTGTTATGGCAATTTCACCCACTGATATGAAAGAGGTTTTACTCATCGGTAGATTGATAGTTGGAGCAGGAATAGGTGAATATTAATAAAAGTTAAAATATGAGCCAGCAGCTACATGCAAAAATGTCCCAAATTAATTGCTAAAATTCTAAAATTGTCTCTCTATTTTCCTTGAATGTAGGCGGGAAATCTGACATGTATTTCTTATTTCTAATGATTTTCAAACACATCCAATTTGCCTCCAAAAATATTGATGAGAAAAGTTATGAATAAACATAAATGAAATGCTTTGAGTCCAAAACACTTCTTGGTACCTTGATCAGAGGAGAAAACAGTTATTCAAATGTAACATATGAAAATACATCTTTAAAGTTAAATAAAAATAGGGCATTCAAATAAGATTACATTTTCATAATTTATGTCTTTATTTATTATTATGTATCCTAGTATATGTATCCCAATTCCGGAAACACTCTAGACATCCGATGATTCGACAAATCAATATATTTCTACTAGCCTTTTAGTTAATGAAATTTTATTGTTTAGGTGCATTAAAAAAACCAGTCGTATATTGAAGAATTCGAAACAAATAAATGTCATAAATGTACTTGTATTCATAATTATGTTTATTAGATAACCATATAACGATTAGATTATGGTTTTGTTTTTTAGATAACGATATAACAATTAAATTATAAAAAAGTATACAATATATATATAGTGTTATTTATTCCAATAACTGATAGAATTATAAAAGTGAAAAACTTAAACACTTGGCATTGATTTAGAACTCTTAAGTTGTATTTATTATTCCTTCAAGCTTATATAGTTAACATCATATCATTCAGTGAAAACCTCTGACTATACAAACTTTGGTATATGTATTTTATCACCAATATTGAATTGTTTTAATAAAATGGTATACTACAGGGTTTGCGTCTATGTCTGTACCTGTATATATCGCTGAATCTGTTCCAACAAATATCCGGAGATCGCTGGTTACTATGAACCAGCTCTTCATCGCTATAGGAATTCTTCTTTCCAGTATTGTGGCTGGAGCTTTCGGTAATGATAAAGAAAATGGATGGAGGTACATGTACACCGCCCTTAATTTAGCTATGAATGATTATTATTGTTAAACTACATTTTACAATTCTGCATGGATAAATTACTCAGATTTGCATAAAAGATGTAAAAAGTACGTGAATAATCATTTCATTTTTATTCTTTACTTCGAAAATTAGTTGGTATATGTTCGTATAGGCCTGTGCATTATATCACAAGGAGGACAAACCTACAAATAACGTACAATCATGTACATGTACATGCAAAAAAGAAAAAAAATGTAGAAAATTAACATTGTTAATACTGTTATACCTAATATTCTTTCTTAAGGTCTGACAACATGTTTTTCGAATTTTGTTTTTGCATCTCTTCGTAGTATATCAGAAATATTTATGATTATCTTCAGCTTTCTACACTGTTTTCAAAATTGTTATATCGGCAATTCAAATGATTTTCAGTAGGATTATATAGGAAATACCATCCTCTGGTATCTTGCAAAAACGTCTGGTAATGTTCATCAATATTTTGTGAAGAAACATCTTCAAGCATCAGTGCTTCATTCACAAACACTTGAAAATTGTATATTATTGAGAAACGTACAAAAATAGAAATTAAGTATTAAATTTACTTCTGATCTCATAATGCGTCGGTGTCCTGTTGGGTACATACTGGGACTAGCCGGTGTCCCCAACGTCATTCAGTTTTTTGGATTCTTCTTCCTTCCCGAGAGTCCTCGGTGGTTGATCGCCAAAGGACGTGAACAAGAGGCAAGATCTGCCCTTGAAAGAATACTTGGATCGAGAAATGTAACATTTGAACTGAATCAAATACAACAAGCTGTGAGTGAAATGAGAGGAAAACAGATATAGTGAGTACAAAAATGATATATAAAAATCTTATTTCGTCTGTTCTTGTGTCTGGGACTTCTATGACTATCAAAAATATAATTCATGAAAGGAATC